TCCCACATCACTGTGACCTCACTAGGTGTGAGATGCACAGACTCCCACATCACTGGCCTCCCTGGGTGTGAGATGCACAGATTCCCACATCATTGTGACCTCACTAGGTGTGAGATGCACAGACTCCCACATACTGATCTCACTGGGTATGAGGTGTGGAGTCTCTGATACTTTTCTGCTAAGCTTTGGGTGATAAGCGATTGCTGATGCTGATGGTTTTCCAATGACACATGTCTCAAATATTTGATATTTGTGATGTACTCAGCTGGCAGGGCTTTAAAATTCTCAAGTGTAAACATATCTGCTCACAGTGCTCCCTGGAGCCAACCTCTTCAAGTGTACAGATGGGGGCTAACATTAGGTCCACGGTCAGATGGGGCTAGCACAGGGTCCACGGGCAGGTGGGGGCTAGCACAGGGTCCACGGGCAGGTGGGGGCTAGCACAGGGTCCACGGGCAGTTGGGGGCTAGTACAAGGTCCTCTTTTAAAGTTCTTTGTTCTGGGCAGACGGCACTGTAGTTGCCTACCTAATCACAGGATAGACTCACTCTCAGGACCATGGTCAGAGACCTGATCTTGACTCAGGCCAACCAAGCAGAAGCTCACATCTAGGCCAGGAGCAGAGCCTACATTTAGATATTGCTCATTTCTAGGCTGCTTCATTCCCACCCCGAGGACAAAGGACAGTCTGAAGGAGGAGGCTGCAAGGAAGGGAACTCCAGATGGCACACTTGCCAGATCAGACAAAGCTAGTCCAATAGTGGCACTGACCGAGGGCAGTCCTCATGCCAGGCACTGTCCTCTGCAGAGAGACCATGTTGCTCTTCATCGTTAAAGCAGTTCTGTAGGATTTGTCCCCATTAGAGATGAGGACTTGGGGGTAGAGAGCCGGCAGAGGACAGTGTGGTCAGAAGGAGGCGGCCAAACCTACTTGGAGTATGCCAGCCCCCCCACCTCCGGCCATGGGAGGTGCTCTTTTCTCACTTGTTTGAAATGTGTCCCCTGCAGGGCATCTCAAGTTCCCTCGGGCCTCACTCTTGGCATTCTGAATGTTGACCTCACATGGCATCCTTGGCATGTCCCTCCCCTGCTGCATGAGTCCATGGTTCAGAGCTTCCCAGGCAGTCCCAGCCCAGAGGATGTCTGAGTTGTGAGGACTGAGGAATCCAAGCAAGGAAGTGCAGAGAGGCTGTAGCTCCATAGTCCTGGCCTCATAGTCTCCACTGCACTAGGCTCCCTCGCAGCA